GATTTGAACTCTTGACCTCCAGCCGATAGGTGAGCGTCTAGTCTCTAGGGCTGGCACAGTGCCTAACAACAACAGTGAGATTTTACAAGGGCGGGAGCTAACCAACTATTGACAACTTATTCAATGCTTCAGAATTGTATCCCCTGTGTCTCTGGATCTCACTCACTATTCTTATGATTGTCGGTTGTTGTCACCCCTCCGGGCGGCTACCTGAATGTTTGAATACTCTAAGACTAAGGGAATTTCATCTTGGAAGACACATCATTAGGGCTAGTCTAACCGCCCATGCAGTTATAATTCGGGCGCTGCTAGCGGCTAGTTTTAGTAATTGTGCAGGCGTGCCGACACAGAGAAAAATCGCAGAGAGAAAAAGTAGGGTGGGGTGGGTGTGTGCATATTGTCTAGTGTCTTTGCAAACAAAGTGAACTCAACGGACCTGATCCTCGGAGCTGTCAAGTCTGGCGAAATGGTCTGCTTGTGTGTCCACTTCTAGACCTGATACTTCTTCCAGCACTTGAGTTTTGCTTGCACGTCTGTTTTACAGATCATCTTATTTACATGCAAACTGTTGGTTCCTTGCTTTCAGGCAGATGCACTCCGACTTCGAAGTAAACCTCTAATTATTCGACTCTTACGACATGCTTGTTGGTGGTAGTTGGTCTATCCCCATCCCCCCCCCCACCCCAATGGGAACCTGAACCCATCCTGGGACAAAGAAGTAGTAACTCAGGCGCTCCTAGCGACCAGGTTGCACTGCTGCAGACTCGCTGACACCGAGAAAACATGGGGAGGGGGAACATTCATATTGTCCTGGCAAAAATCCTTGTTTAGGAGCATAATATTTCATAGTAATTATCATCATGTAGCAAATCCTTTGCAGAACTTCGCTCTTATCACGGTCTGCCTAAAAGAAACTCGGTCTCTCTCCCGCCTTGTGTATCTCCAAGGCGTCACTTATATCCTGTGCTAACTTCCGTGCTGGTCGGCCTCTGCCCTTACTTCTTAGTAACATACCTCCTGTTTTTTTTTTTTAATAGTCCCTCGTGGCACTTGATATAGCCAAAATATTTCAGCTTACGAGACAAAATTGTGTTTATTAGCCAATCTTTCTAAATGTTTAGATTTGTTATGGTGAATTTTTTTCTTGTGTAATATAATCTAATAATAGTAGTAATCATTGTGATTGCAATGTGCTCTGCTAGGGGTTTGATTCAACTCGTCACATTGCTATAAGGACTTTCTAGGTACATACAGTCGCTAAGAATACACCAGACGACGAACGTTCAGTTATTGATCATTATGCGCTGTTATCACAACCATACTGTCCATGCTCTCGTTGTCGCTACGCATGGCTGATTCCTGATGACCTTGCCAACTATCTCAAACTGTGATTCTCTCTGCCATTACCTTTCGGATCATACAGCTGTAGCGTACTAACGTATTGTACCTGGTACTCATACACATTGGAAACTTTTAATCAAAAGATATTCTTTTCTGCACTCGAACAAGTACACGTGGTCAGACTTTCTGCATTCTCATCAGTTGTTATCACGCATGCGACCGCACACATCCAGGTCCGAACTTCAACTGCCTTCCTACCCTCTCTTGGTTCACATCTTCCGTTCCAGTCTCACGCTTTCCTCATATCCCTCCTTCATTCACGACGGGATACTCGAGACCTTCTTATCTCGTTTTCCTCTTGTTTCAATGGTCCTCTGACCTTGTTCCCCCCCCCCTCCTCCCCAATTCGGGGACTCTCTGGGATTTCCCCGGGAAATTAACAACATTACAGTGATGATGACAATAATATTAATAATAATAAAAGATATGTCGCAGAAATTGACTTTACCTGCATGGCGGTTTTACAGGCGCCCCATGAGATGGAATGGTAATACGGAGTCGTCGCCGGGTAGAGATGCCTTCTACGATGTCTGTGTTTCTTGTATATCAATGGTGCATCGAAAATATGGCGCTAGAATCACATTTTTTATACAGCCAGTATCGCACAATGGGTGATGCGGTCAAAATCATACCGGTCGCCTTTACTTTTCATGATATTTCTTGATACCCTTTATAGGTTGGTACGACCTGTGAGCCACAGTTAACTACCTCTCTGAGGATTAGACAAAAAAGCTTCGGTCTGGCAGGCGAGCGTCTAGCCACACCACCGCTGCGGCTCCAGATGTTCTTTGTGGCGATCTTATCAATGACATAATTGTTCTATGTGTGGGTGTATCAATGTTCTATATGCACTGAGAGCACATTGTATGGGATGTGTACCTCATTTGTGGGTATCCTGATGTTCCGTTGAAACTACAGTCAGGTGGAATTCTATATTGGGTGATCCTAATGGAATTCCTTGGGTCCTGTCCGTGCTGCTGCCTGACAAGTCTGATACCCTAGGACCAGAAGATCATAATCTGGCTGTCAGACCAATCGGGCCTGAAGATTTGATACTATGAAAGTAAAGACTCTAGTTCAGCTTTCACAGACGTTATAATAAGGGCAGCCGTAACGACAGCACCAGCCCAGTGTCCTCTGTAAGGATGATCACAGAGGCTTACCTTTGGTCGTACCTGACACATTTACATATAGCATTTACTAAAACTTAAATACGTATCAACTATATAATGCAGGGGAAATGACTCAGTAGCCTTTCTTACTTTCTGAGTTTATCTCCCTTACACCATTTCGTACAGTTTTCCTGGTAGAGATTCGTTTATAAAAATTTGGGTCAAACATTGTATCCCCAATGCACCCTTTTTCTTTAAAAGAGAGAGACATAAACACACACACACACACACATACACACACACACGCGCGCGCACGCGCGCGCACACACACACACACACAACTAGGGATCATTCTATAATCCTGGTTAATTTGTAATGCTTAAAAAATTTTCCCCATAGATAATGAAATGGAACTTGATCTGGAGAGCGTGCAGGCCAATTTTCATGTGAGAATATGTGATCTGTGTTTGGTTTTTTTTTTTAACTCTGTGATGTGTTAGCTGTATGTACATTTGCGCCATCCTTTTTTAAACCATGCTTCTCCAATCTTACGTTCATTCCGCTTTTCTAAAAAAAGTTGCAGAATGTCAGGACGGGACCGTTGAAGACAACTAATCTAGTTAAACTTTGCTACTGGCAGTACACCATCCCATACATTCCTCACAGTGTAGAGGCGCTTTGTCAAATGCACTGGGATTAAAACTGCTCCAACTTTGACTTTTGTTAACACATCCTAAGGTTGCCATATTTTGATTTTCAAAATTAGGACACTTCTCCTAACATAAAATTCCGCTTAAAAATTGTGTTTTATTGTTGTTGTTTTTTTTTAAACCTGACAGCACATGAAATGTTTGCATTTAAATTGTAAAGTGAAGTTGACTTGAGTGAATCAACACTAAGACTATTTCTCTTATTGGCCAATTAGGCATGGATTAAAGAAAATAATTTTTCTAGCGAAACATTGTGTGCTGGAATAGCAAAGAAGAACTATGCTATCTTCACGATCTCAGTGCACATCCCAACTGCTCCCACAGCAATACTCAATACAATCGCAGAGTTTGAATTGTGTCTTGGCTTTTAGAACTGCTGACAAATCTACGAATGTCCCAAACAGTTTGCAAACGCTCAGATTTACTGGTGAAACGAAGACTTAATAGAGCCCTAACGTGTCCAGATAGATGAAACCATGCCTCATCACAGCTGAACGTTACCTCGGCAACGGTCTCGTCTTTTTTTGAAACCAGCTGGAATAGTTTGACTCTGGATTGATTGTCACCACTCTTTTAGTTCCGTTAAAATATACTATGAATTTGTGACCAACCATCCGTGTGTATCGACCGCTATTTAGAATAACCTGTTTAATCGAAACAATTCTTTCTTCCACTGATAACGTCTCGACTGCAAATAATTACACTAGCAGTCGTCAACCGTTTTTTATGTTTGTGTGTGTGTATTGCTTCACGATTGACTGTTGAGCACATTTTTCGATGACGTCATTTACTTTTTTTTGCAGATTTGTTCTATATACATAGTGTAGTGAGACTTGACACACACCCTGAAAGCCTAGATGTATGTATGTATATGTAATGGAGATTTCATGATGTAGCTTAAATAGACATTTATTAAATGATTCAATGAGCAGCAGGCAACTATGTGAAGATACCCAGTTATAGGAATGAACGGGGTTTCTGGGATTTGTTCCTGTTTGATTCTCGATATTGTCCTGCAGGTAGCAAATCTAGAAAAAAAAAGGGGGGGAAAGGAGGGTGGGGGGGGGGGGGGGGGGTTTACATTTGACTAACAAAGAAATCTGTTGTGGTATCTGTATCTAAGTGTCTTTTTGTTGACCAGCAGTGTTTGGACAGGTAGTGCAGTGATATCTGCGCTGTTCCAAGTAAACTATTCCTCTTCAGCCAAACCCTTCTTAGTAGCCTTTTTATTCAGAGCCAGCAAAGTTCTCTCTCTCGCTCTCTCTCTCTCTCTCTCTCTCTCTCTCTCTCTCTCTCTCTCTCTCTCTCTCTCTCTTCTCTCTCTCTCCTCTCTCTTTCTCTCTCTTTCTCTCTCTTTCTCTCTCTCTCTCTCTTCTCTCTCTCTCTCTCTCTCTCTCTCTCTCTCTCTCTCTCTCTCTCTCTCTCTCTCTCTCTCTCTCTCTCTCTCCTCTCTTCCTACCTACTTACCTATTTCTGTACGTGAACATAACATGCCTTATTGAAAAATAGAACTGATGTGTGAAAGATGGGTGTTTGGAAGGGCCGATGTAAGATGGGCCCAATCTGTGACCCTTTGAAAATCAAGTTCGTTCTTTCCTTGTACTAGGTACGGTCCTGGGAAGTAAAGTCGGCCGGTGTGATGCTAACCACATCACCCACCGAGTGCCGATTGGTCTAGAAAATGTAGCTCTTGCCCTATAAACCTAATGCAACTAAGTGTGTGGGAAAAGTCTTTTACGTGTATGTGTGTTTGTGTGTGTGTTTCACCACACAACAGCCAAACAATGCAGGCATTAGTCTCTACGTACAGGTACACCATATGAAACCAACATTTCAACGTGTGATATTCACTGCTTAAAATAATTTGTGTTATGTTATCATCATGTGCCATTTCGATAAGCGAAGGCTGTCATGTTTCGCCTTCTCACGCAATCATCACAATCACAGATCAGTTCAGTGTTCTTGCCTCCCACCATCCACACGACCACACCACTGAGGTATTTATCGGTTTGCCCTTCCCTTGCTTTATTTCCATCAATCCTGCCAGTTGTCACCCAGTTCTCCAGTCTATGTCCGAACCACACCCACTGTCTATGTCCGAACCACACCCGCTGTCTATGTCTGAACCACACCCACTTTCTATATCCGGACCACACCCACTGTCTATATCTGAACCACACCCACTGTCTATATCTGAACCACACCCACTGTCTATGTCCGGAACCACACCCACTGTCTATGTCCGAACCACACTCACTGTCTATATCTGAACCACATCCACTGTCTATGTCCGGACCACATCCACTGTCTATGTCCGAACCACACCCACTGTCTATGTCCGGACCACACCCACTGTCTATGTCCGGACCACACCCACTGTCTATGTCCGGACCACACCCACTGTCTATGTCTGAACCACACCCACTGTCTAGGTCTGAACCACACCCACTGTCTATGCGAGGACAAAACCCACTGTCTATGTCGGAACCACACCCACTGTCTATTATCTGAACCACACCCACTGTCTATGTCCGTACCAAACCCACTGTCCATGTCCGGACCACACCCACTGTCGATGTCCGGACCACACCCACTGTCTATGTCGGAACCACACCCACTGTCTATATCTGAACCACACCCACTGTCTATGTCCGGACCACACCAACTGTCTATGTCTGAACCACACCCACTGTCTATGTTCGAACCACACCCACTGTCTATATCTGAACCACACCCACTGTCTATGTCTGAACCACACCCACTGTCTATGTCCAGACCACACCCACTGTCTATGTCTGAACCACACCCACTGTCTATATCTGAACCACACCCACTGTCTATGTCCGGACCACACCCACTGTCTATGTCTGAACCACACCCACTGTCTATGTCTGAACCACACCCACTGTCTATGTCTGAACCACACCCACTGTCTATGTCCTAACCACACCCACTGTCTATGTCCGAACCACACCCACTGTCTATGTCTGAACCACACCCACTGTCCATGTCCGAACCACACCCACCGTCTATGTCCGAACCACACCCACTGTCCATGTCCGAACCACACCCACTGTCTATGTCCGAACCACACCCACTGTCCATGTCCGAACCACACCCACTGTCTATGTCTGAACCACACCCACTGTCCATGTCCGAACCACACCCACTGTCTATGTCCGAACCACACCCACTGTTTATGTCCGAACCACACCCACTGTCTATGTCCGAACCACACCCACTGTCTGTGTCCGAACCACACCCACTGTCTATGTCTAAGGTTTGTATTCAGTATTTCAGTTCAATCAGTTTCTCTGTGTGGGTTCTAAGGCCCATTTTTGTGAGGAAACAAGAAGCGATCCACTGCTACACCCTAACCTCCACTCCACCCCCCTCCACCCCCCTTCTTTCTGTGCCTAGTTCATGTCGTAAAAGACCTCGAATGATGGGTGTTGCCTTTGAAGTAGGAGTGCATCTGAGAGGCTAGGAACAAAAAGACAGTATAAATATGCCAGCTCTATTAGATGGGTTTGTACGCAGTACTCAACCTCTGGAAGAAAACAAAAGTATAGAAGGGGACGAACAACCAGAACTTTACACCAGAGGTTACAGCTGGTGGTCGTGAAGAAGAAAAATATCTGTCTATTATATACAGGAGCATATCGAAGATCTGTGTACGTGCAATGACCTCAAACTGTTAGGAGCCTAAATGCACTTCAAACGTTTTTGCTACTTAGCAAAAATTACAGATAAGTGATGTCCTTATCTGTCTATGCTAAATGTATTTCTCATGGGTTACTGAAGATAAGATTTGGCTTGTTGTTTGCATTGGCAAAATTGTTAGCAAAGAGAAAGTTGAGCAAACTGGCTGTCTGCAAGCGGGAGGGTAAATATAACAAGTTCATACTACCTTTGATACTAGTCGCACAAAACGCAATTTATTTACACATATTACACTCTTTGTACTCTTTTTAGCTTTTTCACCGTGACACTGTTCTTACACAAATATAATACTTTTCTTACACAAATATAACACTCTTCTTACACAAATATAACACTTTTCTTAAGTAAATGTTACCCTTTTTTTTTTACATCAACATAAAGCGTTTTTTTTTAAACACTCATTTTCTGTATCAAAGAACACCGTATATAAATATTACACTTTCTTACATTAAATTAAAATTCTTCTTATTTATACAATTCTTCATAAATATAAAATAATTCCTCGATAATTGTGACATTTCACCTAAACAAATGTTACACTCGTTTATACCCGGTGACCCCACTATGTCCTGTATCTACCGTGGTCGTGCCAGAGAGGAAATCCGCTCGTTTATACCCGGTCACCCCAATATGTCCTGCATCCAATGTGGTCGTGCCAGAGAGGAAATCCGCTCGTTTATACCCGGTCACCCCAATATGTCCTGCATCTAATGTGGTCGTGCCAGAAAGGAAATCCGCTCGTTTATACCCAGTCACCCCACTATGTCCTGCATCTAATGTGGTCGTGCCAGAAAGGAAATCCGCTCGTTTATACCCGGTCACCTTACAATGTCCTGGCACAAACGTGAAACAAATTTCTGCCCAATGAGAATCCTTAGAGACTCCAACTTTTGTCTTCAAAACAAGGTACATGATGAAGAGCAGGAGGATGGTGATGACAATAAATGACGGCGCCAATGAGACACACAATACTTGTGATAACTGTCATCTCATCTCATCGCACCTTGCTCCTCTGGTACCTTGCAGAAGTATAATTTATGGGAAAGCGCCCTTTATGTGTATCGTAAATGTTGATTCCCAGGCACTCTGTAATTGTCTCTGTCCATCGCTAACATGGTCGGCCTCTTATTCGCTTTCCGCCTTGTTTATACATAATGGTTTGTTGTGGAATACTGTTTGCTGACATCCGCGTTATATGACCAAATTATATCACCTGTTGTCTTTCGCTGTGCTGCTGTTACCTAACCCACCCACACCCTCCCCCCACCCCCTCACCCCCTCTCCGCCCATTTGTCTTCGACTTTCATCGTTTCTGATCTTATCTCCTCTTGTTCAATTGGGAACCCTTCGCCGCAATCTCATTTTCATCATCATCATCATGCCGTAACATTACGTGTCGTTGGGTCACCAGTTTCTGTTGACTGTCTGATCAGTTCCCTTCACCTTTAGTGGTCAGTTGCGATGGACTTCATGGTTGCATGCCTGAGGCATAACTAACTGTTCCATGATGTTGTTCGAGGACATCAGTCACATTTCTTTCTAACAAGATGTTCAACAGTGTTGGAGAGAGCGGGCAGCTCTGTCGGACTTCTACTGTTGTTATCTCGTTTTAGTTGTAATTTGTCTTTTCTCCTTTTCTATCACAGTATATCTAGATCTGGCAGTGGTAACACAGAGTTTGCAAAAAGACTGTGTCATAGAGTGCTCTGTTGGTTTCTGTTGATACATGTTTGTTTCTTAGTATTGATGCCTCTGCCCAATGAGTTAGTTTGCTTTGTTACATCTACTATTGATACATGTTTGTTTCTTAGTATTGATGCCTCTGCCCAATGAGTTAGTTTGCTTTGTTACATCTACTATTGATACATGTTTGTTTCTGCCCGTAATAGTGTTACTGTAGTACCAGTCTCGCTTCAACGTGCACGTGATAGCGTTACTGCAGTACCCACCTCGCTTCAACGTGCCCGTGATAGTGTTACTGCAGTACCCACTTCGCTTCAACGTGCCCGTAATAGTGTTACTGTAGTACCCACCTCGCTTCAACGTGCCCGTGATAGTGTTACTGCAGTACCCACTTCGCTTCAACGTGCCCGTAATAGTGTTACTGTAGTACCAGCCTCGCTTCAACGTGCCCGTGATTCTTTTACTGTAGTACCACCTCGCTTCTGCGTGCCCGTGATACTGTTATGAATTGTTTTATTCTTGCAGATTAACAATGATACCTTTAATCCTGGCCCTAGTGTTGGTACATGGCATGGTTGCGCTGGACGTGGTCATTTGGCAGACTCCGCCCAGTCTACACTTGTCCCTACCTTGTAAGTAAACACGTCAGTGTGTGTTTTTTCTTTGACACAGTAGCGGAGAAACTATGGGGTGACCCGTTTGCTATGAAGCTGAAACTAAGATTACCAGATTACCAGATTACACATCAGTGGTTACAGGAGAATATTAGAGTATCATTAGATTGTAAGTATAGATTTCAGTGGTTACAGGAGAATATTAGAGTATCATTAGATTGTAAGTATAGATTTCAGTGGTTACAGGAGAATATTAGAGTAACATTAGATTGTAAGTATAGATTTCAGTGGTTACAGGAGAATATTAGAGTATCATTAGATTGTAAGTATAGATTTCAGTGGTTACAGGAGAATATTAGAGTATCATTAGATTGTAAGTATAGATTTCAGTGGTTACAGAAGAATATTAGAGTATCATTAGATTGTAAGTATAGATTTCAGTGGTTACAGGAGAATATTAGAGTATCATTAGATTGTAAGTATAGATTTCAATGGTTACAGGAGAATATTAGAGTATCATTAGATTGTAAGTATAGATTTCAGTGGTTACAGGAGAATATTAGAGTATCATTAGATTGTAAGTATAGATTTCAGTGGTTACAGGAGAATATTAGAGTATCATTAGATTGTAAGTATAGATTTCAGTGGTTACAGGAGAATATTAGAGTATCATTAGATTGTAAGTATAGATTTCAGTGGTTACATGAGAATATTAGAGTATCATTAGATTGTAAGTATAGATTTCAGTGGTTACAGGAGAATATTAGAGTATCATTAGATTGTAAGTATAGATTTCAGTGGTTACAGGAGAATATTAGAGTATCATTAGATTGTAAGTATAGATTTCAGTGGGTGCAGGAGAATATTAGTGTATCATTAGATTGTAAGTATAGATTTCAGTGGTTACAGGAGAATATTAGAGTAACATTAGATTGTAAGTATAGATTTCAGTGGTTACAGGAGAATATTAGAGTAACATTAGATTGTAAGTATAGATTTCAGTGGTTACATGAGAATATTAGAGTATCATTAGATTGTAAGTATAGATTTCAGTGGTTACAGGAGAATATTAGAGTATCATTAGATTGTAAGTATAGATTTCAGTGGTTACAGGAGAATATTAGAGTATCATTAGATTGTAAGTATAGATTTCAGTGGGTGCAGGAGAATATTAGTGTATCATTAGATTGTAAGTATAGATTTCAGTGGTTACAGGAGAATATTAGAGTAACATTAGATTGTAAGTATAGATTTCAGTGGTTACAGGAGAATATTAGAGTAACATTAGATTGTAAGTATAGATTTCAGTGGTTACAGGAGAATATTAGAGTAACATTAGATTGTAAGTATAGATTTAAGTGGTTACAGGAGAATATTAGTGTATCATTAGATTGTAAGTATAGATTTCAGTGGGTACAGGAGAATATTAGAGTATCATTAGATTGTAAGTATAGATTTCAGTGGTTACAGGAGAATATTAGAGTAACATTAGATTGTAAGTATAGATTTCATTGGGTGCAGGAGAATATTAGTGTATCATTAGATTGTAAGTATAGATTTCAGTGGTTACAGGAGAATATTAGAGTATCATTAGATTGTAAGTATAGATTTCAGTGGTTACAGGAGAATATTAGAGTAACATTAGATTGTAAGTATAGATTTCAGTGGTTACAGGAGAATATTAGAGTATCATTAGATTGTAAGTATAGATTTCAGTGGTTACAGGATAATATTAGAGTAACATTAGATTGTAAGTATAGATTTCAGTGGTTACAGGAGAATATTAGAGTAACATTAGATTGTTAAGTATAGATTTCAGTGGTTACAGGAGAATATTAGAGTATCATTAGATTGTAAGTATAGATTTCCTCTTTTTCGTCAAACATATTCTGAGAATCTTTCTATAGCCTTTCAGCTCCAAAGCCCCTATTCTTTTTCTTAAGGACTGAGAGATAGTCCACGACACACACCGTATGTTTCCACAGGGAAGATGCAGGCTCTCAACATTCTAATTGTGATCTCCTTGCTGGTGCTTAACCATATTTAAGCATAGATGGCAGTGGGTAGAGGATAGATAATATTAGACGATTGTTTGATCACCATTATCATCACCATTTACTGCACAGGTATCTGTGTACCGGTCTGCTTTGCCATCTCATGTGATCAGTGATGTGTGTCAATCACAGATATCAAAGTTGTTAGTAAAAGAGTGAGACCAACATGTTGGGTGAACGTTTTTATATTTTGTGGACATGAGGTTGACTCGCTGTTCTAGCAGTGGACAAGAGTGTTGACCACTGTACTAGCAGTGGACAGGAGTTCGTTCTGCTGTTGTGGAGGTTGTTTATAATTGGGTCTGATATGGTGCTGGTTACTGTAAAAACATTGTATTCTGCTGAAATGCAGCATTCCTTAGGCCTACATGGATCAATGCCTAGAGACTTAGGCCTACATGGATCGATGCCTAGAGACTTAGGCCTACATGGATCAATGCCTAGAGACTTAGGCCTACATGGATCAATGCCTAGAGACTTAGGCCTACATGGATCAATGCCTAGAGACTTAGGCCTACATGGATCAACGCCTAGAGACTTAGGCCTACATGGATCAACGCCTAGAGACTTAGGCCTTCATGGATCAATGCCTAGAGACTTAGGCCTACATGGATCAACGCCTAGAGACTTAGGCCTACATGGATCAATGCCTAGAGACTTAGGCCTACATGGATCAATGCCTAGAGACTTAGGCCTTCATGGATCAATGCCTAGAGACTTCTGATGGATGTGAATTGCTTTTCAAATTATTTATAAATGATCTCCATGTTGTCATTTTATCATTTGCATTTTTTCTGTGCAAAAAAATAAAATAAAATACAACAGCAATGGATTATGAAGCTCCTCAGCTGGTTAAAATTCATACAAGTTGTTGTTTATCAACCCATACCATGTCATGGATCGTCTGTCCAGGATATTCTGGTGTGTGGGCTAATGAACAGATTGGTTGACTGGCTGCTTCCGCCTCTACCGCTGCTGGGCTTTTTTTGTTATTAAACTTTTTTAGCGAAGGCTCTCTGTGGTCAAGGGCACAGTGCAAAAGAACAGTGTCTAAACATTCAATAACAAACTCAGCCATATATATATATATATATAGAGTAAAGGACCCTTTAGGCGTATAGGGCATAGAGGGCTAGACCTATATTTTATAGACTAATCGATGCAAATGGGTGATGTGATCAGCATCTCGCAGGACGCCTTTACTTCCCGGGGCTGCACTCGGTACCCACTCAAGGCTGGGTGGACCTGGGAGCTAAAGTCATGTTTGAAAACGTTTCGATCCGCAGGCGAACGTCTAGCCTCTCCGCCACGGCGAGGAGGGAGAGAGGAGAGAGAGGAGAGAGAGAGGAGAGAAGGAAGAGAGAACAATTGTTTGTGGGCATGCGAAAGTGCGCCATGAAACAAGTTTGCTTGTCCCGAACACAACACACATCCTGCTGGTGTCTCTGCTGGGGTCTCTGTTGGTGTCTCTGTTGGTGTCTCTGATGGTGTCTCTGTTGGTGTCTCTGCTGGGGTCTCTGTTGGTGTCTCTGCTGGTGTCTCTGCTGGTGTCTCTGCTGGTGTCTCTGTTGGTGTCTCTGTTAGTGTCTCTGTTGGTGTCTCTGTTGGTGTCTCTGCTGGTGTCTCTGCTGGGGTCTCTGCTGGTGTCTCTGCTGGTGTCTCTGCTGGTGTCTCTGCTGGTGTCTCTGCTGGTGTCTCTGTTGGTGTCTCTGTTGGTGTCTCTGTTGGTGTCTCTGTTGGTGTCTCTGTTGGTGTCTCTGCTGGTGTCTCTGTTGGTGTCTCTGTTGGTGTCTCTGTTGGTGTCTCTGCTGGTGTCTCTGCTGGGGTCTCTGCTGGTGACTCTGCTGGGGTCTCTGTTGGTGTCTCTGCTGGGGTCTCTGTTGGTGTCTCTGTTGGTGTCTCTGTTGGTGTCTCTGTTGGTGTCTCTGCTGGTGTCTCTGTTGGTGACTCTGTTAGTGTCTCTGCTGGTGTCTCTGCTGGTGTCTCTGCTGGTGTCTCTGTTGGTGACTCTGCTGGTGTCTCTAATGGTGTCTGCTGGTGTCTCTGCTGGTGTCTCTGCTGGTGTCTCTGCTGGTGTCTCTGCTGGGGTCTCTGCTGGTGTCTCTGTTGGTGTCTCTGCTGGTATCTCTGCTGGTATCTCTGCTGATGTCTCTGTTGGTGTCTCTGTTGGTGTCTCTGCTGGTGTCTCTGCTGGTATCTCTGCTGATGTCTCTGTTGGTGTCTCTGTTGGTGTCTCTGCTGGTATCTCTGCTGGTATCTCTGCTGATGTCTCTGTTGGTGTCTCTGTTGGTGTCTCTGCTGGTGTCTCTGCTGGTGTCTCTGTTGGTGACTCTGCTGGTGTCTCTAATGGTGTCTGCTGGTGTCTCTGCTGGTGTCTCTGCTGGTGTCTCTGCTGATGTCTCTGTTGGTGTCTCTGTTGGTGTCTCTGCTGGTATCTCTGCTGGTATCTCTGCTGATGTCTCTGTTGGTGTCTCTGTTGGTGTCTCTGCTGGTGTCTCTGCTGGTGTCTCTGTTGGTGACTCTGCTGGTGTCTCTAATGGTGTCTGCTGGTGTCTCTGCTGGTGTCTCTGCTGGTGTCTCTGCTGGGGTCTCTGCTGGTGTCTCTGTTGGTGTCTCTGTTGGTGTCTCTGTTGGTGTCTCTGCTGATGTCTCTGCTGGTGTCTCTGCTGGTATCTCTGCTGGTGTCTCTGCTGGTGTCTCTGCTGGTGTCTCTGTTGGTGTCTCTGTTGATGTCTCTGTTGGTGTCTCTGTTGGTGTCTCTGCTGGTGTCTCTGCTGGTGTCTCTGTTGGTGACTCTGCTGGTGTCTCTAATGGTGTCTGCTGCTGGTGTCTCTGCTGGTGTCTCTGCTGGTGTCTCTGCTGGTGTCTCTGCTGGTGTCTCTGTTGGTGTCTCTGTTGGTGTCTCTGTTGGTGTCTCTGCTGGTGTCTCTGCTGGTGTCTCTGCTGGTGTCTCTGCTGGTGTCTCTGCTGGTGTCTCTGCTGGTGTCTCTGTTGGTGTCTCTGTTGGTGTCTCTGTTGGTGTCTCTGCTGATGTCTCTGCTGGTGTCTCTGCTGGTATCTCTGCTGGTGTCTCTGCTGGTGTCTCTGCTGGGTTCTCTGCTGGTATCTCTGCTGGGGTCTCTGTTGGTGTCTCTGTTGGTGTCTCTACTGGTGTCTCTGTTGGTGTCTCTGTTGGTGTCTCTGCTGGGTTCTCTGCTGGTATCTCTGCTGGTGTCTCTGCTGGGGTCTGAAGCAAACTTTGTACCTCTAATCCAAGTAATCTCAGCAAGCACGTTAATGTCCACCCGTCTGTTTGACCCACAGCCACAGACAAGAGCATAGGCGCTGTCAGGTTTCACTACACCATCAACAACCGTGAATACCAGGCTCAGGCCACCCAGACAGGTCAGTGACAGTCATCATCATCAGCATCATTGTTATCATTAACGTTAGCGTTATCATCGTCCTTATCATCGTCATTAACATCGCCATTGTCAACGTCAATGTCATCGTCATTGTCATCGTCATTATCATCGTCATTATCATCGTCATTGTCATCGTCATTGTCATCGTCATTATCATCGTCATTGTCATCGTCATTATCATCGTCATTATCATCGTCATTATCATCGTCATTGTCATCGTCATTATCATCGTCATTGTCATTGTCCTTGTCATCGTCATTGTCATCGTCATTATCATCGTCATTATCATCGTCATTGTCATCGTCATTATCATCGTCATTTTCATCGTCATTGTCATCGTCATTATCATCGTCATTGTCATCATCATTATCATCTTCATTATCGTCGTCATTATCATCGTCATATCATCGTCATTATCATCGTCATTATCGTTATTATCATCGTCATTATCATCGTCATTGTCATCGTCATTGTCATCGTCATTATCATCGTCATTGTCATCGTCATTGTCATCGTCATTGTCATCGTCATTGTCATCGTCATTGTCATCGTCATTATCATCGTCATTGTCATCGTCATTATCATCGTCATTATCATCGTAATTATCATCGTCATTATCATCGTCAAATCATCGTCATTATCATCGTCATATCATCGTCATATCATAAGCAAGCTTTTTTAAGACACTTTCTGGTAAGTAGCGGCACCTTTATAAGACACTCTGTGGTAAACATTATCATCTTTATAAGACACTATGTGGTAAATACTGGCATCTTTATAAGACATTTTGTGGTAAACATTATCATCTTTATAAGACATTATGTGTTAAACATTATCATCTTTATAAGACATTATGTGGTAAACATTATCATCTTTATAAGACATTATGTGGTAAACATTATCATCTTTATAAGACATTATGTGGTAAATACTGGCATCTTTATAAGACATTTTGTGGTAAACATTATCATCTTTATAAGACATTATGTGGTAAACATTATCATCTTTATAAGACATTATGTGGTAAACATTATCATCTTTATAAGACATTATGTGGTAAATACTGGCATCTTTATAAGGCATTATGTGGTAATACTGGCATCTTTATAAGACATTATGTGGTAAATAATGGATTTTGCCACAAAACTGATATTTATATTTTCCATAGAAGCAGCCAAGGTCCCCCTGCCTGAACCTAGGGTTCAAGGACGGTGGCCAAAATGTGCGCTTAATTAAACTATGGCTATAAAAGTCTAGGGTTCAAGGACAGTCGCCAGAAATGTGACCCCAGTTATACAGTGGCTATAAAAGTCTAGGGTTCAAGGACTGTCGCCAGAAATGTGACCCCAGTTATACAGTAGCTATAAAAGTCTAGGGTTCAAGGACTGTCGCCAGAAATGTGACCCCAGTTATACAGTGGCTATAAAAGTCTAGGGTTCAAGGACTGTCGCCAGAAATGTGACCCCAGTTATACAGTAGCTATAAAAGTATCCAAGAGATCCAAGGGAATAGTTTTATATCAGCGCTTTGTATCTACAAACAGTTGAGTTGAGTCTAGAACTGACAACAACCCGCTCGGAGCATTCACATGTGTGCCAAATCCTCATCTTCAGCAGCCAGCGCAGAGTTTCAAATACTGATGGTGCCGGTCACAATCTGTTATATGTCCGTCTTGCCTTTCCTCTGAGTGTATTGAGCAGGCCAGACCCTCTGGTTACACCCAGGTGACTCATTCTCTCCAGGCCATAATAATCTTGTTTCTCTACTGATTCCGTTGCTTGTTCCCAGAGGGCCTTGACCACATCTGCCTTGCCATGTATCAATTCCCCACCCAGTGGTTAGGTTAGGTTAGTTGCGTATCCTTTACAGGACGTTGCAGAACCAACCCCAGCAGCCCCTGACTGTTGTGTGGTTTCTCTTGGCAAATTTACGTCCAGTAGTTTGCCATTGCTTCTGGACTGTCGGCTCCCTGATACCACTGTCGAAACCAACGCAAGGCGCATGGCCTGCAGCTTGGATCAAACCCGGCACCCCTGCATTACGAAGCGTTCGCATTGACTTAGCCAGAGAGCTGACCACCCAGTGGTGCAGATCCAGTTAATCTGCCTCCTGTTCACAGTATAAGAGAATGTCTACAAACAACTAACCAGAAACATCTATCAGATGTTTAGCCACTAAGCTTTGACTAAACAAATTGTAATTGAAGAACATTGTGTTTAGTCAATAAAATGCTGTCTAGATTTGCGCTGGTTTCTGTCTGAGCGGTAAATGGGTCCGCTAAATGTTTGTCTCATGTTCCCGGTCTGCTAAATGTATATATAAATATATATTAGGTGGGGGTGGGGAAGGGGGTCTGTCCGCAGCTGACAAAAAGTTTAGACACACTGATCTGGTTACATGTTTTTTACATCACCGACACAATCTGTTATTTCATGAAATGAAAATACAGTTCGACAATCTTAACACCACAAGTTAATCCTTTCATTAGGTGAAGGCTGGCGGTACACGATCCCCCAGCTGCTGCCTGGGGTCGCTGGGGTGTTCCATGTCTACGCTGTGGTCTATGACGTCGAGGGCAAACACTTGCTGACTACAGCTAAGAGTTCCCTAGAGCTGGGTAAGTGTGTTCTCGCTGTTTCCTTTTGGCTATGCCAATGAAGGACCTATCGTAGAAGTTACATCTACCTTACTGAGATAACCTTTCTTTCTTTCTTTCTTTCTTTCTTTTTTTCTTTCTTTCTTTCTTTTTTCTTTCTTTCTTTCTTTCTTTCTTTCTTTCTTTCTTTCTTTCTTTCTTTCTTTCTTTCTTTTTCTTTCTTTCTTTCTTTCTTTCTTTCTTTCTTTCTTTCTTTCTTTCTTTCTTTCTTTCTTTCTTTCTTTCTTTCTTTCTTTCTTTGCTTTCTTTCTTTCTTTCTTTCTTTCTTTCTTTCTTTTTTCTTTCTTTCTTTCTTTCTTTCTTTCTTTCTTTCTTTCTTTCTTTCTTTCTTTCTTTCTTTCTTTCTTTCTTTCTTTCTTTCTTTCTTTCTTTCTTTCTTTCTTTCTTTCTTTCTTTCTTTCTTTCTTTCTTTCTTTCTTTCTTTCTTTCTTTCTTTCTTTCTCTATCTCTTTATTCTGTGAAGATCTTTGTGCTGCTATTACTACTACTGCTGCTGCTGCTACTACTACTACTACTGCTGCTCCTACTACTGCTGCTGCTGTTGCTACTACTGGTACTAGTCATAATACTACTGCAGCTGCTGCTGCAAGTTCTACTGCGGCTGCTACTTCTATTACTGTTACTGTTACTACTACTACTAGAAATAATGAAAATAGTGCTGCTGCTGCTACTTCTACTACTGTTACTGTTATTACTACTACTACACTGCTGCTGCTGATACTACTAAGGTAACGTATGGGTGATTTTGGCATTAACATGATAAAGGTGATATTTTTGCTTTCGTCAGATCGCACATCCCAAGTGGCACGTCTTCCCACGCGCCGCCTGCGAGGGGCAGCCTACTTCCGGGATGACTTCAATAGCCTCAGCCGCTCCAACTGGGACATCGAAGTGTCCATGTATGGTGGATGGGTGCGTTTGCTTGATATTTAGTAGTGACCTGACACAATTTTAATCTATAACGTCTCCTTGTACTTTACTGAGTCCCAGTGGATCGTCTCAACCTGCTCAAGCCTTTTTAAAGTCTTATCATTAAACTGAATGTTAAATACATAAATTATTCAGCATCAATATATTTGGGAAAAATATGAAGTGCGTAAACGGATTTTTCAAAGTAAAACGTCTATACCTGCTTAAGGGGTGCGCGGGAGTTGGGGCAAGGTCTGCCCGCATACAAATTGTATGGGGGATTCGAGTGGAGGGCTAAGACTTCCTAAAATTTATAGGTGGTGGTGTGGCGGTGGATTAACAAGGTCAGAGTGGAATTACTGAATTTTTTGGCACTCATAGATGCGAGAAGAAAGAAGTAAAGACAGTTTGCACACCTTCTGTTTGGACTGGCTTTACGCAAGCCAGTGTCTTGTTTTACCAGAGAGCTGAAAAATTGTTGCTCCGAGCAGTAACGGCAAATCTCCTTTTTGCGTGCACAACACACACGGGCGTCCGATCTGACTATCTACAGGCCAGGGGAAATTATTAGAAGTCCACGTGAAAAAATTTCAGTCTTCACCGGGGCCTGAACTCAGGACCTCCAGCACTCGAGGCGGACGCCGTGGCTCAAGACCATACGGCACCTAAAAATAAAACATAAAAACTGTTTAGTGGCATGAAAGTGATAACACGTGCTTCCTGTTGACTTATGTCGAGTGTGAACCCAAATGTGTGATGTGTGCTTCCAGCATAGACTACAGTGAGTGTAACATCACCAACAATGCACTAAGTTGAAATGACCAAATGTGCACTTGGGTGCACTTGACTTATATCCGACATTGCTCGGCTTGCTAGCACAGTTGGCTAGAACCCTTTGCGCGGCGACCGGGTGACGAACTCCTTGTGGTCCGGGTTCACGCCCCGGGAAGGCAGAAAAGACACATTTCAGTTTTAATATTAGTTTACTCCCTGCATTTACCTGTATCTATATCATGGAATCAAGGCGAAAAAAATGTTATACCGAAGGTTTGCTATATCTATAGTACCGAGCTGAAGGGTTTACAACTCATGGTTTCTGAATACTGAAATAATAGAAAAAAAAATACATATCCGACACTAGACACTGGCGCAGATCTCCATAATGCCTAGAGGAAAAAATTACATATCCAACACTACACACTGGCGCAGATCTACATAATGCCTAGAGGAAAAAATTACATATCCGACACTACACACTGGCGCAGATCTCCATAATGCCTAGAGGAAAAAATTACTAAACCAGTATAAATCAAACTTTGTGTCATATGCTGAATCATCCCACAATGTTACCCATCATTTGGGCTTAGACACAAAAAGCATCCACTCCCTCCAAGCGCTCATCCTGTCAACAGCTGAAGAGGTTTTCCTGGGCGTACTTGTTTCCTTAGTCTCTGTCCCACTTCTGCGCCTATTTGATGACTCTCATCCCGCTTCTAGGTATAAAGTATCCGACTACCTTCTTAAGTCTCTAGCTGTTGATACCAACAGTTTTACAGAAATGTATCTCATCTCTTTGTAGAATTTCTCCACTGTCAATGCCGATCAATTTCCTCTGACACTTTGTATTTGAATACATTTAATTCTCCCCCAAGTGTCTTTAGTGGCTCTCCAACTTTCACTGGCATATTTTCAAGCTGAAATAACATTGGAACGAACAATCTGAATTGTTTTCTCAGACTATATAATTTAGAGTTGCATATTTTGTTCAGACTTTCAAAAGCCTCGGTTACATTGCCAATACGTGGCATTATTTCTTCACTGTGGATCCATGCACCGCGACCAAATGGTCTGCACTTGAAAATTATATTTCATGAATGTGATCCAATTGTTTTCATGTCTTGTTTTGTCTCCTGTGAAGTGATTTCTTTATATAAATTATTGTGACTGACAAAATGCATGCCTGAAGCGTTGTGTTTTTCTTCTTCCAGAATGGGGAGTTCCAAGTCTACACCAATGACCCAAAGAACGTGTTCACGCGAGGAGGTGGCAGTCTATATCTCAAACCTGTAAGCCTACACAGACATGTATGTCTGTATGTGTCTGTGTAATCCCAAACCTGTAAGCCTTCACAGACATGTATGTCTGTATATGTCTGTGTAATCCCAAACCTGTAAGCCTACACAGACATGTATGTCTGTATGTGTCTGTGTAATCACAAACCGTGTTCTGTCTGCAAGCTTTTGTTTATGGAAACATAAATGACCTTCGATATTTTTTATAAAATTATAGGCGATGTTTGTGCGGGATTATGATAATAAAATCATAGATAATGTGTTTTCGACAATAATATTATATAATCATAGGTAATATGTGAGCCAGATTATGTCTTTATAATCACTTGTGATATGTGTGCGAGATTATATTTATTTAGTCACAGATGGTTACGGCTCTATGACCTAGAAGTTAGTGAATGCGTTTAACAGTGGTATGATACTCAAGTGCCAATATTTGATTCCTGTGGCGAATGGTTTATTACACAACCGTTCTGGTGGTTTTCACAACGTGGAAAAGGTGTGAGCCTCACTGCGTCATTTGTCCACAGACAGTAGTGATTCACTGTAGCCAGCATTCATTCTGCAGTTCATTGTTTTGTTGTTGTTTTTTTTTTTTTAAATTAGTGAAGTTATGTGTGCGTGATTAGGTGCACAGATAATGGTAAATAACTTCGAACTATGAGAAAATTATGTGTGTATGTTTGTGTATGATAATCCTTGATTCACTCTCTGAATCTCCGCTATTTATTTAATCCTTTGTGTGTCATCCCTTTTATTTAATCCTCTGTGTCTCTTCTCTAGTATTTCACTCTCTGTCTTTGGTCCTCGCTGTCTGGTCCCTTGTGTTTCACTCTCTGTCTTTGGTCTTTTTTGTGTCGCTACTTATGTTTAATTCTCTGTGTTTGATACTCTCTGTTTGGCCTTATTTGCACTCACCGTTTTTGTCTTTGGATCTTTTTGATCCCAGATTTGATGTCGCACACGGGCACTATGGACTTATGGTTTGACAGCATTCTCTGTGTTGTGTGGCATACTCTCCACTTACGGTGGCTGTAATGAATCCACTTACGGTGGCTCTAAATAATCCACTTACGGTGGCTCTAATGAATCCACTTACGGTGGCTGTAATGAATCCACTTACAGTAGCTCTTATGAATCCACTTACGGTGGCTGTAATGAATCCACTTACGGTGGCTGTAATGAATCCACTTACGGTGGCTCTAATGAATCCACTTACGGTGGCTCTAATGAATCCACTTACGGTGGCTCTAATGAATCCACTTACAGCTGCTCTAATGAATCCACTAACAGTAGCACTAATGAATCCACTTACGGTGGCTGTAATGAATCCACTTATGGTGGCTCTAATGACTCAACTTCCATGTATTCCAGCACTGTTCGGATATTGCTCGGAAGCCGCGGAGAACGGATGTACCAGACGTGGATCTAACGGACTGTTGCCTCCAGTCATGTCCGGGAAGGTCAACAGTGTTCCCACCATGAAATATGGCGTCCTGGAGGTGCGGGCCAAGGTTCCCAGGGGCAACTGGCTTTGGCCGGGTAAGATTGTCTATCAGACACGGCTCTGTGTGTGTGTGTTTGTATGTATGTGTGTGTCTGCGAGAGAGAGAGTGTGTGTGTGTGTAAGAGAGAAATGGAAGAAAAAGATAGTAAGTTTGTGTAAATATATGTATGTTTATACGCAATGCTTCTGTGAGAAGTTCTGTATTGACAATTCTCAAGAGATAGTCCCACATCAATGTGTGTGTTTGTATGTATGTGTGTGTTTGTATGTATGTGTGTGTTTGTATGTATGTGTGTGTTTGGGTCATTGAGTATCTGCTGCCTGTGTGATCATTTCTGTCCAGGTGTGAGAATCAGGTGCTCTAGACTTGATGCGTTTGTATTGGAAGCTCGTCCTGTCTGGCAGACTTTGAATCCGTGTCTTTCTTGGTATAAACACGGCTGATTACAGTCGAGTTGGTGAGCAAGAACGGCTGATTAAAGTCGAGTTAGTGAGCGAGAACGGCTGATTACAGTCGAGTTGGTGAGCGAGAACGGCTGATTAAAGTCGAGTTGGTGAGCGAGAACGGCTGATTACAGTCGAGCTGGTGAGCGAGAACTGCTGATTACAATCGAGTTGGTGAGCGAGAACGGCTGATTAAAGTCGAGTTGGTGAGCGAGAACGGCTGATTACAGTCGAGCTGGTGGGCGAGAACTGCTGATTACAGTCGAGCTGGTGAGCGAGAACTGCTGATTACAGTCGAGCTGGTGAGTGAGAACGGCTGATTACAGTCGAGCTGGTGAGTGAGAACGGCTGATTACAGTCGAGCTGGTGAGCGAGAACTGCTGATTACAGTCGAGCTGGTGAGTGAGAATAGCTGATTACAGTCGAGCTGGTGAGTGAGAACTGCTGATTACAGTCAAGCTGGTGAGTGAGAACGTCTGATTACAGTCGAGCTGGTGAGTGAGAACGTCTGATTACAGTTGAGCTGGTGAGTGAGAACTGCTGATTACAGTCGAGCTGGTGAGCGAGAACTGCTGATTACAGTCGAGCTGGTGAGTGAGAACGTCTGATTACAGTCAAGCTGGTGAGTGAGAACGTCTGATTACAGTCGAGCTGGTGAGCGAGAACGTCTGATTACAGTCGAGCTGGTGAGTGAGAACGTCTGATTACAGTTGAGCTGGTGAGCGAGAACGTCTGATTACAGTCGAGCTGGTGAGTGAGAACTGCTGATAACAGTCGAGCTGGTGAGTGAGAACGTCTGATTACAGTCGAGTTGGTGAGCGAGAACGTCTGATTACAGTTGAGCTGGTGAGTGAGAACGGCTGATTACAGTTGAGCTGGTGAGTGAAAACGGCTGATTACAGTCGAGCTGGTGAGTGAGAACGGCTGATTAAAGTCGAGTTGGTGAGCGAGAACGGCTGATTACAGTCGAGCTGGTGAGTGAGAACGGCTGATTACAGTCGAGCTGGTGAGTGAGAACTGCTGATTACAGTCGAGCTGGTGAGTGAGAACTGCTGATTACAGTCGAGGTGTTTAGTGAGAACGGCTGATTACAGTCGAGCTGGTGAGTGAGAACGACTGATTACAGTCGAGCTGGTGAGTGAGAACGGCTGATTACAGTCGAGCTGGTGAGTTAGAACGGCTGATTACAGTCGAGCTGGTGAGTGAGAACGGCTGACTACAGTCGAGCTGGTGAGCGAGAACGGCTGATTACAGTCGAGCTGGTGAGCGAGAACGTCTGATTACAGTCGAGCTGGTGAGCGAGAAGTGTGAAATGTAATACATCATGTGACTATAATGATGATAGAAGTGTAAGAAAGGGTATGGAAAAGGAAAAAAATATACGACCGAACGTTTTGACAAATCCCAAAACTATGTTAATGAAGACCTTGGTCGTCGAAATGTTGGGCTGCATTTGTGCTCGTTGTTTCCATTCCCTCCATTGAGTTTCTGGTCACATTTATGTAATACTGAGTCTTCATGTCTACCATGGCCAGCCTCGCCTGCTCTGTCATGTACTGAGAGCTGTGCTGTTTCTGGAGCAGTCGCTAGATCTGATTTCATGCCCACATCATACAAGTTTACGTCTACTTACTAATGTTAACAGAAATGTGGAAATTACTAGTCAGAATGTGGCTGCCTATTAACAATTATTGACGGCTATTTCCGCATACGAGTGCGGGTTACACCCGGTTTGAATGGTCCATATGGGTGCTATCATTATAACTTGTTCTGGAGGATGATCGGGGTATCTAGGATTTGTCCTATCAGTTGGCATTCAGATTGAGGCTGTAAACTCAGGGTGGTCTAACTTCCACGAAGCAGCCATGAGGGGGAAACGAAAGAAGGAAGAAAAAAGATGTTTCCTCACGCCCTATGTTGTCCTGTGAATGTGTTGTTAACTATGGCGTAGGAAATGGATGCAAGAGGGGGACGGTGGGGTGCGTTATCAAGGAGAGGGGGGAGTGACAAAATTGCACAGGGCGGTGACAAGATTCGATGCCAATCCACTGGCTGTTAACCCGATACCAGATATTTTGGTAGACAAGGTGTGTGATCAAGCTCATCGATAATCTTTACCTCTCATAACTGACCTGATACAATATTTGGACTGTGGGCCAAGAGGTGTACTCTTGTAAATCCCTTGCATGGTGGGAATTTTAGGTGGTGGATGGCCACCTGGCCGTTTGGCAAGCCTGACATCCTGGCTACATGTTCCAGTTATTTGTTTTATTTCTGAGCCAATTTTATGAAGTCAAATAAAAACACGGTAGCTTATCATAAAAACATAATTACAACAACAACAACAAAACAACAACAACAAAATTTCGTTATTTAATTTCGCATCCGAATGCAAAGAAGAATGCAAAACACACACATTTTCAAACTTTAAAAACAAATAATTATTTAGTAAACCGAAGAACCTTTCATGCAGAGATATTAGTAAATAATTTGTTTATAAAACGAACCAGTAATGTAATGTCATCTACCCCTCACCCCGCCCCCCCCCTACTCCTTCCATCCTCAGCTATTTGGATGCTACCTAAGGACAGCGTCTATGGTTCTTCACCTCGTTCTGGAGAGATTGACGTCATGGAGTATTACGGTATGTTGTCGTCATTTGTTGTGTCATTGACCTGTGAACTTGTAGTCTTGATCAGAGAATCTGCCACACCATTATATTCGTTCTGTTCTCTGCAATTCGCAGTCAACCAAAGCCTGCAGTGTATTATTACTGTCATTGTTTTGGTTGTGTCAATTCTCTAATCATCTTTATTATCGACATTAGATCTGGACACACGAACTTGTAGAGCATCTGCCCGAGAGACCGGGAACCAATAGATAGCAAACAAATAAGTCAGATTGTGGTAGTAATGGTGGTAGTTAAACATTTCAGTTGTGTGCGTTGCTCTCAGTGTTGTTGCTACATGCTGCAGTGCTGATAAGATGTGTGTGCTTACGTTGTACTTTTGATGCTAAGTAATTGAAGGATAAAATCGGACTGACTGATGAACGTGAATGTTCTCTTTGTGTCGTCTGGCTCTTGTAGCTACCATAGTTAATGATGGACGTGAATGTTCTCTTTGTGTCGTCTGGCTCTTGTAGCTACCATAGTTAATGATGAACGTGAATGCTCTGTTTGTGTCGTCTGGCTCTTGTAGCTACCATAGTTAATGATGAACGTGAATGTTCTCTTTGTGTCGTCTGGATCTTGTAGCTACCATAGTTAATGATGGACGTGAATGTTCTCTTTGTGCCGTCTGGATCTTGTAGCTACCATAGTTAATGATGAACGTGAATGTTCTCTTTGTCTGGATCTTGTAGCTACCATAGTTAATGATGAACGTGAATGTTCTCTTTGTGTCGTCTGGATCTTGTAGCTACCATAGTTAATGATGAACGTGAATGTTCTCTTTGTGTCGTCTGGATCTTGTAGCTACCATAGTTAATGATGGACGTGAATGTTCTCTTTGTGTCGTCTGGCTCTTGTAGCTACCATAGTTAATGATGAACGTGAATGCTCTGTTTGTGTCGTCTGGATCTTGTAGCTACCATAGTTAATGATGAACGTGAATGCTCTGTTTGTGTCGTCTGGATCTTGTAGCTACCATAGTTAATGATGGACGTGAATGTTCTCTTTGTGTCGTCTGGCTCTTGTAGCTACCATAGTTAATGATGAACGTGAATGCTCTGTTTGTGTTGTCTGGATCTTGTAGCTACCATAGTTAATGATGGACGTGAATGTTCTCTTTGTGCCGTCTGGATCTTGTAGCTACCATAGTTAATGATGAACGTGAATGCTCTGTTTGTTTCGTCTGGATCTTGTAGCTACCATAGTTAATGATGAACGTGAATGCTCTGTTTGTGTCGTCTGGATCTTGTAGCTACCATAGTTAATGATGGACGTGAATGTTCTTTTTGTGTCGTCTGGCTCTTGTAGCTACTATAGTTAATGATGAACGTGAATGCTCTGTTTGTGTCGTTTGGATCTTGTAGCTACCATATTTAATGATGAACGTGAATGTTCTCTTTGTGGCGTCTGGATCTTGTAGCTACCATAGTTAATGATGAACGTGAATGCTCTGTTTGTGTCTTCTGGATCTTGTAGCTACCATAGTTAATGATGAACGTGAATGTTCTCTTTGTGTCGTCTGGATCTTGTAGCTACCATAGTTAGTGATAAACGTGAATGTTCTGTTTGTGTCGTCTGGCTCTTGTATCTACCATAGTTAATGATGAACGTGAATGTTCTCTTTGTGTCGTCTGGTTCTTGTAGCTACCATAGTTAATGATGAACGTGAATGTTCTCTTTGTGGCGTCTGGTTCTTGTAGCTACCATAGTTAATGATGAACGTGAATGCTCTGTTTGTGTCGTCTGGATCTTGTAGCTACCATAGTTAATGATGAACGTGAATGTTCTGCTTGTGTCGTCTGGATCTTGTAGCTACCATAGTTAATGATGAACGTGAATGTTCTCTTTGTGCCGTCTGGATCTTGTAGCTACCATGGTTAATGATGAACGTGAATGCTCTGTTTGTGTCGTCTGGATCTTGTAGCTACCATAGTTAACAATGAACGTGAATGTTCTCTTTGTGCCGTCTGGATCTTGTAGCTACCATAATTAATGATGAACGTGAAGCTCTGTTTGTGTCGTCTGGATCTTGTAGCTACCATAGTTAATGATGGACGTGAATGTTCTCTTTGTGCCGTCTGGATCTTGTAGCTACCATAATTAATGATGAACGTGAATGCTCTGTTTGTGTCGTCTGGATCTTGTAGCTGCCATAGTTAATGATGAGGCTGGTTTTGTTTAGACTTCCTGCCCAACTCCGTCTACACAACCCTCCACTGGGGACCTTCTGGCGACGAGAACGGATTTGAAAAGACGAAAGGAGAAGTGTAAGGCATACGTACTTATTGTTGTTTCTTGCCTACGTGTATTAATGTACACTCTAATTCACATACATAAACATTTACACATGCCTACACACACGCGCGCGCGCACACACACACTAACTCCTTCACATCGGCGACATACGCAAAAGCAATCGATGACATATAACCGTTTGCACTACGCCAAATCACCTTAGTACAACTGTAGCAATTTTAGTGCTGCTGTAAATGTGTCAGGAGACTGAAATGTGATGTTGAACCAGTGCTGCTGTAAATGTGTCAAGAGACTGAAATGTGATGTTGAACCAGTGCTGCTGTAAATGTGTCAAGAGACTGAAATGTGATGTTGAACCAGTGCTGCTGTAAATGTGTCAAGAGACTGAAATGTGATGTTGAACCAGTGCTGCTGTAAATGTGTCAAGAGACTGAAATGTGATGTTGAACCAGTGCTGCTGTAAATGTGTCATGAGACTGGAATGTGATGTTGAACCAGTGCTGCTGTAAATGTGTCAAGAGACTGAAATGTGATGATGAACCAGTGCTACTGTAAATGTGTCAAGAGACTGAAATGTGATGTTGAATCAGTGCTGCTGTAAATGTGTCAAGAGACTGAAATGTGATGTTGAACCAGTGCTGCTGTAAATGTGTCAAGAGACTGAAATGTGATGTTGAACCAGTGCTGCTGTAAATGTGTCAAGAGACTGAAATGTGATGTTGAACCAGTGCTGCTGTAAATGTGTCAGGAGACTGAAATGTGATGTTGAACCAGTGCTACTGTAAATGTGTCAAGAGACTGAAATGTGATGTTGAACCAGTGCTACTGTAAATGTGTCAACACACTGAAATGTGATGTTGGACCAGTGCTGCTGTAAATGTGTCAACACACTGAAATGTGATGTTGAACCAGTGCTGCTGTAAATGTGTCAAGAGACTGAAATGTGATGTTGGACCAGTGCTGCTGTAAATGTGTCAACACACTGAAATGTGATGTTGAACCAGTGCTGCTGTAAATGTGTCAAGAGACTGAAATGTGATGTTGAACCAGTTAGTTAGTTAGTTAGTTAGTTAGTTAGTTAGTTGGGTTATCATCATTGCACTCCGGACATGTCCATAGGTGCTCAGATCCTCCCCTCAGTATGAATCCCAACGTCCGATGGCTAATAGTACCAGTTCTATGTTGATTAACAAGTCTTCTGACGTGTCCGGTGTGCGTCTCGTTTTTTGCTGTGCCGATCTTAATTCCCAAGTCTGCCATTCTGGCGAGTGATGTGGATTCACTGCCACCAAAGTCCTCTATCCTTCCCATTTCTCTGAGGGCATTGATAATATCAGCATGATCCATAATCCGACCGTCGGTAGTGATAGCGGATCCAGCCAACCTGTCAGCTCTTTCATTTCCATTGACGCCTGCGTGTCCCGGAACAAAAATAAAGGTGACACAGTGGACTTCTGAATTGATTCAAGCCATTGTCTTCGCACTGAACCTGCCTGAACCCTCCGGATCATACTCATTGAATAACTGAGTATACACACGCGGGTGTATTTTTGTGTTTCAAGCCAGGCAAGCGCGTGCGTCACTGCCATCACCTCCATCGTCATGCTGCTGGTTGTCATGGAGAAGGCGCCGTTGGCTTCTTTGACTGTTCTGCCCGCTAAGCGTGCTGTAAATGCCCATGCGCTTCTTCTTTGGCGTATAACAGATCCGTCTGTATAGATTAGTGCATCTGCTTCGTCTGAATTTTCACCGATGAGAGCGTTGACCTCTGCATTAACAGCAACAGGATTCTCTTCTCTACATCGCCTGTTGAGTGTGACAATACAGGTATCCATTCTGCACCAGGTATGATGTCGGTTAGGCTGCATATTTGCCTAATAACATCTTCTGCCCGACCTAGCCACGATTTTCCCCTCTTCAGTCTGTCGCCCTTTTCACTAAAAAGCGCTTGATGCAGTGGGTGTTTCTTATCAGCACATATTTTGAGGTATGCCCGAGCCCTCCACATCCTGATCCTTTGGTTCATTGTTGGAAAGTCAAGTAGATACCTCATTGCTCCACAGGATGTGTCTCTTGTTGAACCAGTGCTACTGTAAATGTGTCAAGAGACTGAAATGTGATGTTGAACCAGTGCTGCTGTAAATGTGTCAACACACTGAAACGTGATTTTGAACCAGTGCTGCTGTATTGGTGTCACTCATCTCATGTGAATAAACAAAACAAAAAAAAGAAAAACTTGAATGCTGTGGAGATGTGGTTTCTAAGACATATAATGTGAACGAAGAAAGACTGCGAATGGCTCATGAAATTCAAAATTTTAATGCAACAATAAGAAAGAGGCGGGCCAATGTTTTTCGATCATGTGATGTGGTGAGGGCCATTGACACTGAGAGCCACTTTTCGGTCACAAGTCCGCCAAAAATTAAATGCCAGATACCCTGTTCAACAGTAGGTTAGGATACTGCCTCACCTCATAGTCATTTCAAGTAGCCACCAGCCGTGTGTGTGAGTCTGTGTGTGCGTGCGTGTGTGTGTGTGTGTCTGTGTGTGTGAGACACAACATTTATTTATTTGTTTTCTTTTTTTTTCCCTTTCCTGTCATCAAATTTCATATCATCATTATCATCATCATCATCATCATCATCATCATCATCATCATCATCATCATCACCGAAGTTGTCCTCAGAGCTTTTTGCTTACTGAACCGGCACTTATTT